AGGGGAAGCCGGGAGGAAGGAGGGAGGCCTCTGCTCTGCTACAGGAGAGAGGTAACTCACAAGCACAGGAGGAACACGGGGCTCAGCAGGCAACTGTGCCCCCCCCCTCCTCCCCCGCCCCCAGACAGGAAGGCAAGACTGGGCACGCGCAGGAGCCTGTCAGGAGAGCAGGGGGCGCAGGCCCAGGGCCGCCCGCATCACCTGTTCACAAAGAGGGACAGCTGCGCCTCGAGCCCAGCCAGCCGCGCTCCGCCCAGGGCTCACCTGGGTCTGTACCATCGTAGAACAACAACGCCGCGCGTCCAACGCAGGACAGACGGAGCGCACGATCACGCGCAGGCATCCCATGCATGCATCAGAAGCGCTTAACCTCAAAGGAAGCGCCAAGAGACAGCGGCAGGTGAGAGACCGCTGTGGAACAAAGGCCCGGCACTCCAGGTATATGGGCCTTCCGCGAGCGCGCACTGCGCGATGCTCGCTCGTGCCCAACGGAGACCCGGCCCCAGGACCGCGCTCAGCGGCTGCTCGCTGATAATCCACCCGCCCTCACCCTCCAACACACATGAACCTGAACGGAGCAGGGCCGCCAGCCCGGCTTTACAGGGCAACATTCGAAACAACTGGGGAAAGGACATGTGGCATGTGACCAATGAGTGCATTGTGGCTATAAGGGAAATGTCTGCTCACCCTGAAGTGTGGCTATCTGGGAACAAAATGTCACCACGGCCACAGCCTCCCTCTATTAGTACTCTAAACAAGTAAGTAAAATAAGCCTGTATGCTCAGCACCCTGGGAGGCTGAGGCAAGAGAGTCACAAGTCTGATTCAGCCTAAGCAACTCAGTGAGACTTGGTCTAAAAAAGTAAAAAAAAAAAAAAAAAAAAGCAAACAAACAACTGGGAATGTAGTTCAGGCTCCAGTACCACAATAAATTAAAAAATTGTATCTATCTATATATAGATATAGATATACACACACTTATGTATATAAAAAGCAGGGCGAGGACATAGCTCAGTGGTAGAGCACATGCCTGGCATTTGTGAAAACCTGAGTTCAGTTCTCAGCATCATAATAAATCAAATAAAATGTGGCAAAAAGTTAATAATTTGTGAATCTATCAAAGGATTCTTAGGCTTAAATTTTTTCAAAATAAAAATCCTAGGGAGAAAATAGGCAAGACCAAAAAAAGAAAGAAAAAGAAAAAGAAAAAGAAAAAAATGAATGTAGCAGAAAAGAACCCATGTGGCCACCTCACACTGCAGGCCTGAGGGCTCAACAGAGGGTCAGGAGCCAACCTAGAGCACCAAGGGGCCTTCCAGGCCCCAGGGGACACACAGGCACCACCTACCACCTAGGCAGTTCAAGAGGGACTGGCACATCAGCCAGAGCACCTCACTGGGAGGTACCTGCCAGTGTGGAAGGTGACAGGGCACACACACCATACTCGGCACCGCCCCTCGTGGCAATGCCCCTAAGGGAGGCTTCCAGGGGCTCAGCCCTGCCGGGAAAAGGCGGAGACTCAGCTGCCTTCTACTCAGACAAGACAGGGCTTTTCACCCATTGTGGGGCACACACCTGTGATCTCAGCACTAGGGAGGCTGAGGCAGGAGGATCACCGTGAATTTGAGGCCAGCCTGGGCTGCACAGTGAGACCCTGCCTCAAAAAACAAAAGCAAAATAATGCTACTTTCACCATAACTTTTTCAGTTTCAGAAAACATTTAAATGTCTATTTTTTTTTTGTCTTTTTTTGGAGACAGGGTCTCGCTATGTAGTTTGGGCAGGCCTTGAGCTCACTTTGTAGTCCAGGCTGGTCTGGAACTCCCAAGGATCCTCTTGCCTCAGCCTCCCGAGTACTGGGATTAAAAGCATGAGCCACCATGCCTGGCTCAGAAAACATTTATAATGAGATGCAGTTTCCTTCCCACCCTTGCTGCTACCCAGGATGGTTTCTACTTGTAATCCCATGGAGAAGTTACTGGAATTGTAGCGAGTTAATGCTAATCTACTACTTCAGTGCAACCCAAGGTGAGAATAAAGACCCTAAGGCATAGTTACAGTTGTGGGGAGCTACAGGGTCCTAAGTCCAGCAGGATGAAGGCTCACTGGAACCAAGGCCACATCCAGGGCCCAAGTCGAGGTTTATTAATTCTGCATGAGGGGAGGGGCTCGAGGATGACTGACAGTGAGGGAGACAGGAAATGCATGACTGCCCTGAGCTGGACTGGGTAAGAGGCCTGAGGTCAGGGCTGTGACATGCAGAGGACAGGAAATGCAGAGTAACTCACGAATGTTCTGGGGCTGGTGACTCAACTGTGATGCACAGTCCTGTTTGCTGGGGAGTCACAGCCCCTTTCTCAAGGCTCTGTCCCAGCTCACAGTGTGAAGCCCAGCTCAATACCCCACCCGGGTCAGCCACGTATGTGGGGCATTGCTGGGCGGGGAAACAGGACTGTCTGCCACAGTTTCAGACTAGCATCAGCTCCTCAGCCAGCCCACCTCACACTGCGTAAAGTTAGTCGAAGGCCTAAGAATGGCCTGGCCAGCTCTGCACAGTCAGTCCATGGAGGCCATTGCTCTTCTTTCTGGGTGGCTCCCTACTCGTACCACTGTAAACTATCATTTCATATTTTAAGCACTTCTCAGTTTTAATCTCGCATACAATAAAATCATAGAAGCAAAGCCCCTGGAGTCCTCAACTGTATTTAAGAGCACAAAGAGATTCTGAGGGCAAAGTGTTCCAGAACCACGGCGGAGACCAAGCTCAGGAGCCTCACGAGAACGTGCACCCCAGGAAGGGACCCAGCAGCAGTGGAGGCTCAGCGTCGCAGAGCTAACAACTGCACATGTGCCAATGTGGCTGGACTGCTGGGCAGCAGGGCATTGGGGAGCCCCACCCGGTTTGGTCAGGCACTTGAAAGCATCTAGCCTAGCCTCCCCAGCAATGTCACCCCGGGTACACGGTTTTGAAGCACAGAACCTAACCCTGTGCTGGGGACTGTCACCCAGTGACACAGATCAAAAGCAGAAATAAACACATGGGGTTGAGGACCACAAAGTGACTCCAGCTCAGCTCTGGGGAGGGAGGGAGAGGACTGCCCAGATGTGGCACTGGGGACTGACACTAAGGCCTTTAGACTGTGCTACATCCCCAGGCCTTCTGAGACAGCATCTCTTTAAATTGTCCAGACAGGACTCGGATTCACAGTTGTCTTGCCTCAGCCTCCCATGTGCTGGGACCCAGGCATGCGCTACCACGCCCAGCTGATTTCAATCCTATCTGGAGGGTTTGTCTCTAGTATCTGGAAGGTTTGTCTCAGTATCTGGAGGGTTTGTCTCTTAAGTAGGCAGTAAAGCAAAAGTGTGCATTTCACTCTTCCTCACACATTTTTTGTGTGGCTGAAACACAGCATAAGACAGGAAAACAAAAAGGCAGCCTAGAGACGAGATGGAGTCCAGAGTGGTGGTGAAAGCCTATAATCCCAGCTAAGGTAGAGGCTGAAGGAAGAGGGTCTCATGTTCCAAGTTAGCCTGGGAAACTCAGCAAGACCCTATCTCAAAATAAAAAATAAAAAGGGCAGGGGTGTAGCACAGTGCTCCCAGGGTTCAATCCCCAGTACCTCCAAAAAATAAATAAATAAGAGAAAATAAATAAATAAATAAATAAATAAGAGAGTAACAGATAGAGAAGAGACAGACTTCCAATGACTAAAACTGCAAATTAAGTGTCTGACTTAAATTGCTGGCCAAGAAACTAGGAAAATATGGGCGCATTAACTCATGCTCAGGAAGCCACAGAGACAAAACCACGTGCATGAGGATTAGACAGCCTGAGCTCCAGAATGAGCACTGTGGGCTGGGGCAGAGAGAACTGCGAATGTGGCTGGCACCGGTGAAAGGCTGGGCAGGAGCTACAGATCCTGGGACTCACCGAGTAAAGAGGAGTGATCTGAAGGTGGACAGATCACCATGACAGGCAGGGAAGGGAGATAAGGCCAAGAAGATCCCCAGGAGCAGAGCAGAGGTTGTGGGGACACTGACAGCCAGCAGAGGATGACCAGTCCATCAGGAAGGCCAGGACAGGACCCAGCCTGGGAGGAGAAGGCAGGAGCCTCAGTGTGAGCCGGCTCAAAAGGAGTCAGGAATTCACGTGATGTGATGGATTAGCTCAGCCCCAGTGCCTGAAAGCCTGCCAGTTCTGGGAGCACACACACATTAATCCCAGGCCTTTTGGTTACTGCTCTTGCACTCATCATCAGGTCAACAAATACTGATATAGGACCTTGTCTGCGGCCACTAAAGATACAAGCAGACCCCAAGAATGCCATCCTCATGGTGCTTAGGTCACAGTCAGAGAGACTCAATTGGCTGATAAATGCAAAGCCCCTCTGAGAGAGTGCTGCAAGTGAGGGGGTAGGGAACTCTGAGCCTGCCTAGCTGCAGGCACTGCTTGTGGGGCAGGGCAGAGTCCTTAGCGCCTCTCCTTTCAGCAGTGGTGCTCTGTCTCTAACCCAAGTAGGAGCCCCAGGGGCAGATTTCTTTACTCTCACTTTGCCTGCTAGTTTGTTCTACAGGGCTAGGGATCTAACCCAGAAGCTCACACAAAGCACTCTAGCTCCGAGCTACATCCCCAGCCCAGTCCCTTTTCTTCTGGTACCTTCTCCAAGTAGCCAAAGCATGCTTATTGTTGAATAAAATAAAGTCCACTGTATGGAAGAACTACAACACGGCACCCACAGGCCTAAGGGAAAGGCTTTGCTTTGGGTCCCTCACTTGACACCCTAAGTGTCTACCATGAGGGGGTTTTGACGGCTTTCAATGGGGGAGCGAGTGAAGCTGCTAGGACTAGTGTGAAACATTGCCACCTCTAGGACAACTGGAAGCCTATCTCATACCCGCTCCCCACAGTACTCGGGACTGGGATGTTCTGTCTGCATGTGAAAAGCCACCCGCCTTGGAAAGAAATGCCGAGGACACTGTAATCAAGGAGCGGCCTACTTACATCTCGAAACTGAACCTTCCCAAGTTCTCCCAGCTCACTGACGCAACAGTAAGCAGCTTCTGACTGCAGAAACAGCTGGGCCAGCGTCATCTCCTCACTCCGGAAGAGCTCGCCCATGGTGGCAGCGGGTGGTTGGCCAAGTGTCCGGGTTTCGACTGCTATCTGAAGCAAGAAAGACAGTGAAGGGATGCTGGCAGCTAGCCAAGCGCTGACAGTAAAAACCCTGCTGCAGCAAGGCTCTTTAACGTTACATTTTATTTCATCTTGTTTCACCCACTCCATGCCGACAGATCTGCAACCGTTTCTTAGAAAGGTGGAGAGGAGAAATTTCGAAAGCATTTACTGGGTCCTGGATTGCACAGTGTCAGATGAGAAGTCACTTCCTTTCCAGTCAACATCAGGACAGAATGACAATATTTTGGGTCACTTAGTTCCTAAGAATGTACCCAGATCAAAGAAAGACAGGAACTGGGAACCCCAAATATCTCTTTAAATACCACGGACACAATACCATGAGGTAGTGACATTCAGCATCCAGTTCTTTGTTTTCTTGAGCAGGAAAAACAAGAGATCCTGCTTGTCCTCTCCTAAAAGGTGTCAGCCTTGTGACTCGTTTTCTCCCCTATTTCCAATAGCACTGCCATAAAGCTGCGGCTACATTAGAGGACTTAACCTGCCAGTCTCCTCAGAAAAAAAAACATTTCCCCTCTGAGGAGGCCAAAGAAATAATCATTAACAAAAAGGAGCTAGACTTCAAGCATGACAAGAGCACACTGATAATGACGAAGCAGTTTTAGCAGCATGGAGACTGCCCCTTCCACCTCTGCAGCCGTCTGTCTCCTGCTTGTCTTCAAGGTAATGACAGGCTGCCCTTGGTCAGGTCCTCACTCGCAGGAGGCGACTGAGGTTTCATTTTAGGTCAACCGCGTTACCGAGCAGGAAAAACAGTTGGCGCTATCAGTGGTCCTGAAACGGCAATTATTTATTCTCAGCGCCCGAACAGAAGGCTCGGGCTCTCGTTCAGACAGTATCGCACGGCAGCCAATATACAGCCGATGCGTAGTGTGCCCAGGCCACCCGCACTGCACTGAATAGGTGAGCTGAGATGAAAGGCAGATTGACCCAGGGGAAGGAGGCTGGGAGACATTTCCAGAAATCTGAACGCCATAGCCTTTGTGCATTAGACGCTCAAGGCAGAAAAAAAAGCCAGGATTTCTCCAGGATGCTGCGGGCTGAGCCAAAAGTCGGGAATACCTGAGCCGCTCACGTCAGCGGCCCGAGACCTCCCAGCCCGGCCGGCGAGGGCAGCGCCCAGAGCCTCGGAGGCGCTGCCTTCGCCCCCTCCAGGGCCAGCCGGTTCCCAGGGCGCCCTGGGCCCTCTGCAGCACAGCAGAAAGCGGATCAGGCCAGGGCGGCTTCTGGGGGTCGCGCAGTGAAAGGAAAATGAAGAGCGATTCCGCCCAGGGGGCGCAACCCAGCGTCGCCTAGCGCCCGCTCCGCTCCGTACCCGCGGCGGTGACAAGGCGGCAGCGCGGCCCGGGCCGGGGAAGGGTCTCGGGGCCCCGCGCGTGGCCATGGGTCCTCTGCCCCGGGACGGTGCCCAGCGCAGGAGGACCCCGCATTTTCTCAGAGACCTGAGGCCCCTGCTCGTTCCAGTGCCCGGCGGTGGGACCTCAAGGGCGGCTCCCACGCCCCTCCAAGGCCAGTCCCGTGCGCGACCCCCGCCCGTCAGCCGGCTCACCTCCCGCAGCCGCTGGGCTCCAGCCCTCAGCCTCCCGGCGCCGGCCCTCAGCCCCCCGACGCACGTACGTCAGCAGGCCGCGCCCCCGTCCCGCCCCACCACAGGTCCCGCCCCGATTACCTAATCGCCGTCACCCAATCGGGCGCGGCCTCACACCACTGCCGCAGAGCGTGGGGCAAGGATAAAAGCTTTGCGTGATGACGTCATCTGGGGTCCAGTGCTGAGACACCCCCTCCTCAGAAGGAATAGGGACCGCTGGTCTCTCCTGGGGTTCTTGAGTCCTTGGAACGCTTACAATTGTGTGGTAGGCATGCACACCTGTGATCCCGGCTTTCTAGGAGGCTGAGGCAGGAAGGTTGCAAATTCCAGCCGAGCCTGGCTTGTTTAGCAATTTAGCAAGGCCCTGTCTGAAAAGAGAAAATACATGAAAAGAGGGCTAGGTATGTCATTGCGTACAAAGGTCCTCCTTTATCGTTACCAGTGTGCTTTTGTGATGGTTGACTTGAAGTCTATGCAAGCTGGCTCCTTTTCGTGAATGATTATTTCTTTGGCTTCCTTAAAGTGGAAATTGAGTTCATCCCAGGTACAGTAGTACAAAAACTAAACTAAACTAAAATATTAAAAAAATAATTGAAAACTCTATCCCTAAGCTTTACCTTCCAGGCAGAGTAGAGCTTTAGGGTCCCATTGGCTTTAAGTACGGAAAACCCCTCTTTTAAAAGTGGTAATGAGTTCTCCAAAGGAACTACCCAGGGTTTATTTTTGTCCAATTAATAGGAAACCCTGGTGAAGTCTATGTTGTGAAAGCAATTTTTTCTCTCTTGTTTAATAGATTCCTCTGCATCCATATGCCTATGTAGGGGTTTTCAGTTCCTCAAAATTGCTGAAAGATTTTTCAAAGCAAAGTGATGCCAGTTATTTTTAAAAATCTTTCTTAAATATTAATAATAGTTCCCAGACCAGGGACTTACTTCAGTGGCATAAATGCCTGCCTGGCAAGCACATGAGTTTGATCCCCGGTACTGCAAATAATAATAATAATAATAATAATAATAATAATAATAGTTCCCTTTTCTCCCTCTTCTGTTAAAGGGGAGTAGGGTCAAAGTGGTGGCACAATTGCATGGTGGTGCACATCTGTGATCCAAGCACTCAGAAGGCTGAGGCAGGAGGATTGCTGTGAGATCAAGGCCAGCCTGAACTACATAGTAAGACCCTGTCTCAAAGACAAACACAAAACAAAAACTGGTGGCACAGACCTGTAATCACCACCTCTGGGAGGCTGAGGCAGAAGGATCACCAGTTCAAGCCCAACCTGGGCAACCTAGCAAGAACTTGTCCTAAGATATAAATAAATACATGTATGTATGTCGGGGCTGGAGATCTGTCTCAGTACCAAGGCCCTGGGCTCAGTCCTGAGTATGGGTGGGGAAGGAAAGAGATCCCTGGTGAAGCCTGTAACATTTGAATTCTATCAGAAAGACTTGGAAAACCACTTGCTCAGTCTCCATGGGTGTTGGAATCATATGGAGACTTGAGTATAAGGAAGGTGATGGTGCAGATCATTGATGCTAATAATTGTGTCTAAGCTAAAGGAATTAGTGAAGAGGAAAACATGGGGCCCCCACCGCAGTACTGAAAACCAAACCCAAGGCCTTCAAACTGAGCTGTACCCCAGTGGGTCCCTCCTCCCCCACCTTTTTTTTGAGACAAGGTCTCTGCTAAATTGTCCCAGCTGGCACTGGACATGGTAGTACATTTCTATAATCCCAGCACTCAGGAGGCTAAGGGAGGAGGATTGCAGTGAGTCTGAGGACAGCCTGGGTGACACAGCAAGACCTTGTGTCAAAAAAGCAAAACAAAACAATACAATACAATAAAAAACAATTTTCCTACCTAGGCTTGAATTTGCAATCCTCCTGCCTCAGCCTCCCAAGAGTGCTGGGATTAATTTCTGGCATTGTAGTTTTATATTCTATCTCACATCATCAGTGAAATTAAAAAAGACCCCTTGCAGTCTTCTTGGAAGGCAGTGTTTGGAGAACCCGGAAGACCCCTTGTCCCTGTTTCCTGTCCTCCTTCCCAACTTTATTATTTTTCAGCAAGGTTGATGAGGGCTCGCTTCTGAAAACCTGCCAAGTGGGAGAAACCTGTTACACAATGTCACTTCCTTCCTCCCAGACTTAAAAAAAGTGAAATTAACCTCAGAGTCAGCTGCCTCCTAACCACAGGTTGTCACTCTGCCCTGTGACAGGCTTCCCCTCCACTCACCTCGGCCCCCTGGCTCCTCCTGGAAAGCACATTGCCTCTTCCCCCAGCGCTTCTGTTTCCTTTTTTCTCTCTTCCCACCTTCTTGCCTAGTGCAGCCTTAAATCTATCCATAGAGTCAGGTGTGGTAGGACATCTGTCATTCCATCGGGGAGGCTGAGGCAGAAGGGTGGCAAGCTCAAACTCAGCTTGGTAGCTTGGTAATTTAGTGAAACCCTATCTCAATAATAACAATAACAATAATAATAATAATAATCATACAAAGGGCTGGAGGAGAAGCTCAGTGTGGGCAAAGGCCCTGGGCTCAGCCCAAAGTAAGGCAGCAGGGCTGGAAACCGTGTCCTCCTGCAGGGTTCATGCCCTGTCTCCAAGGCTGATAGGGGGTCTCTGGGCACTGCTCTGTGCCAGGCCCTGGGGAAGGCAGAGGAGCTCCGAGGGAAGAGCTCTGCACCCCCCCCACACACACACACAGCCAGAGAGAGGCCAGGTGTGACCATGGCCCCTGGACGGGGAGACCGGGACACCCGGGCCACACCCAGGCCAGCGCTGCGCAGCCAACTGCAGGAGCCAAGAGGCACCTGTGGCACCAGTGCGCCTGGGCAGGGAGCCCAACCGCCCTGGCCCACAGGACAGGAGGTCAGGGTTCCCGAGGTGTACACCGCGGGGCCAGGGCTCCGACCTCAACGTCTGCGAGTCAGGCAGTTTCCTCTGGGTTTCGTAAACAGGACCTCATTTAATCCTTACAGCAGCCCTAAGAGGCCAAGACTCTCAGCTAGCCTGTGTGTTGCACGTCCCTCACCCCAGCACTTGGGAAGCCGAGGCAGCAGGAGCACTATGAGTTCAAGGCCAGCCTGTGCATAGTGAGACCTTGTCTTCAGCATGCAAAACTACAAAACAGAACAGAAAAGAAAGAAATCTCAAAAAAAAAAAAAAATAAACTACTGTTGGCTACTCATGGTCCTAGAAGCCATGAGCGACCCCACATGAGGCTGAGTGGGCAGCACAGTGTCTAGACGGAGCTGCTTTTTAGCATTTGTGAAACATTTACGGAAGTTTCCTTCTTTTTTTTTTTTTTTTGTCTTTTTCGGTTTTTATTGGTACCAGGGATCAAACTCACAACAGGCGCTTATGCCGCTGAGCTAAATCCCCAGCCGCTTTTTAGCTCTTTTTTTTTTAATCTTTTTTTTTTTTTTAAACAGTTTCCTTTCTCAAGATAAAGTAGATGTGGAGACCTGGTTCTCACTATCTGCTCAAAATGTTACAAGAATTCTCTCCAGTGGAGTGCTAAAATAGGCCTGATTGTTTTCGATTTTGTTCTCCTTTTTTTGTTGTTTTTGATTTTTAGGAGGAAGGGTACCAAGAATAAAACTCAGAACCTCATGCTTGCCAGGCAGGCTCTGCACCACTGAGCTAATCCTGGCCCCTCCTTGTTATGTTTTCATTTGAATGAAAGTATGACAGGTGTGGCCTGAATTTCCACCAGTGCAGTCCTGGAATGCCCTGAGGAGAGAGAGCCCTGGAGTCAGAGAGTGTTCAGGAATGCGTCTCTGCTCACTTTTTTTTTTTTTTTGTCTTCTTTTGAGACAGGTCTCGCTATGCAGTTCAGGCTGGCCTTGAGCTCACTTTGTAGCCCAGGCTGGTCTTGAACTTGGAATGATCCTCCCACCTCAGCCTCCGGAGTGCTGGGATTACAGGCGTGAGCCACCACACCCAGCTCTCAAATGTCACTTTTGTCCCGTGCTTCCTGGATTAGTTTCCTAATCACTGTGGCTTCACACAGCAAAAATGAGCTGGATGTGGGGGTGCACACCTGTCACCCCAGCACTCAGGAGGCTGAGGCAGGAGGATTGCTGCAAAGCTGAGACCAGCCTGGGATACACAGTGAGGCCAAAGGCAGCCTAAACCACACAGCAAGACACTGTCTCCCCAAACAAACAGCTCAGAATGTGTTCTCGTGAAGTTCCAGGAAGCTAGAAGTTGGAAGCAAAGTTTCATTGGGGCTGTGACACTTCCCAGCCTTCAGGAAAGACCCTGCCTTCCATTTTCCTAGTTTCAGGGTCTGCTGGGCATCCTTGGCACTGTGCTCCTCAGCTGGTCAGACACCTTGTTTCTCCTCTAGACCTTTTGTAAACATCTTCATCCTCCTGGGTAAAAGACCTGCTCCCAGGAGGCTGGTGGCCCTGCCCCTCAGGGCCCAGTTTTTCATTGTTAGGGTTTTTTGCTTTTTACTTACCAGCAGGTGCTTGTGCTGCTGAGCTGAATCCCTGGCCTGGTAAACTCTCACCCCTGACTTCCTGAGCCTTACAGTGCTGTTCTTTGCCAATTTACATAAAGCTCTTGGTAAGAAACAAAAACCTCTTCACTAGGTTCTGAGGCTCTAAGGGAAGGCAGCAGATCGCCTCAGGCTCTGCTAATGATTGTAGGGACAAGGAGACATGAAAGAGCCTTCAGCATGTGACATTTTATGCCACCCTCGTGACTCCTGTACCAGGCGTGTGAGACAGGCAGCAGCCTCCTAACTTAGAGCTAGGAGCCCTGTGCAAGCTAGGCACAGCAGTGCACTGCTTAATCCCAGCATTCAGGAGGCTGAGGCAGGGGGATCCCTGTGAGTTCAGGGCCAGCCTGGGCAACGTAGCAATACTCTG